AGGCGAAACGGTCTGAACCACCTCTCGCTCGGCATCTCGGAGCTCAGAGTTGTCAGGATGTCTCGGGCATAATTGGCTGGACCACTTCAGGTCAGGGCATCTCTGAGCCCAAGGTTGCAAGGACGTCTCAAGTGGAACGGAAACAGAGCCTAGAGGTGTGAGGATGTCTACCACCTCACGCGCCGCGCGGCATCTTGGAGCCCAGAGTTGCGAGGACGAGCCAGGCGAAATGGGCCGGACCACCTCGCCTCGGGGCCCAGAATTGCATAGATGTCTCCCGCGAGACGGGCTGGACTTTGTCTCGCACAGCATCTCCAAGCCCAGAGTTGTGAGCATGTCTCAAGCGAAACGGGCCAGACCACGTCAATCCTGGCCACTGCGGAGCCCAGACCGCGAGGATGTCCCAAGCGAAACGGGCCAGACCACCTCGCGCGCGGCATCTCAGAGCCAAGAATTGCGAACATGTCTCAGGCGAAACGGGCCGGATCACTTTGCTCGGGGCCTCTTGGAGTGCAGACTTGCGAGGATGTCTCAGGCGAAATGGGCCTTCGTCTTCACGGTTGGATTCGACTCGGAGTCCGAGTCAGAAAGCACCGCGGAAATAGTTTGTGGAGCAGCGGTATCGAAATTTGCTTGTTCCCCCATCAGGATCCCCGTTGAAGGTTTGGGGCCGTCTTTCGGGCGCGGAGAGAGGTTGGGCGAGGCAGTCTTCGGAAATTTGGGGGGTAGTCTCGTAGCACTCGCGAGGCCAACTTGGACCGCCGTGGGTCGTCCTGGCCACTTCGTGGTATGTAGAGCCGAATGGCTGGTTCAGGACCCCACAGGCGACAATGTGCGAGTCACTCCCGCCCCCAAAAGTCACAAGCAACACGTTATGACTTGATGCTAAGAGTATGTTTGATGACTTGATCCGCAGCACACACATTCACGTGTTTCCTCCGCCTGCGTATGGGAATTCGAGCTCGTCGACAATCCCCGGGATGCGGAAACAGATCGCGCAAGCGTGTTGATTAATGTTGTCAGAAGCAGCTGTGAGGTGCCGCTGTACACACGCACACACGGGCACACCTGCCGCGCTGCAGACGCGGTGGCGCGGATTTAAGTCCACGCCCGGCTCGCGGAAAGGCAAACTCAAGGGTTATGTTGTGGGTGTTCATGTGCGGCTCCTGGGGTAAAGAAGTGCTGCTGGCCATCGGTTGCCAAGTGCATTGCCAGAGGGCGATGACGTCAACGTTATCACGTGGGTGGGTTATCCAGCTGCCTGCGGCAATTCCCGCCACAGTTCCAGCCCAGCACTTTGGTTGACGACCCTTCGAGCGCCGCGCATGACACCTATTGTTTCCACATGCTGGGGAGGTCTCGTGAGGTTAAGTTGGGCTGTATTTGGGCTGGCTTGGGCTCCTGTGAGGCAGTCTTGCGGGGTTACTGGGACCATCTTGGGTTACATTCGCGCCTTCTTGGGTCGAGGACCGTCGTGGGGCCCTACTGGCCGTGCGGGGGGTATCTGACGGCCGTCTTGTGGGTCTCTTGGGGCCCCCTGTGGGCCTTCTCTGGGCCATCTTTGAGGCCTCTTGGGCCATCCTGTGTCCCTCTTGGGCCATCTTGGGTGTTCTTTGGGGCGTATGTGTGCCGTCTCGGAAGCCTCTGGGGCCGTGTTCGGTTGCCAGAAGCCTGAAGAAGCGAGAGCAGCTTCGAAAAAGTTAAAAGAAAACAAGTAACAAGTGGGCGTGTCTTCTTCAGAGCCTTGTGGAATCATATTGGAGCCCTTTTGGGCCGTCTCTTATGCATATTGGACCGTCTTGGGGCCATCATTGTACCGTCTTGGGAACATCTGGAGCCATCGGAGCGGGGCCATCTTGGCGGCCATCGTGGCGTGCCTGGGCCGTCTTGAAATCCGCAGCCTGGACGTCTCGGAGAGGCCCGCAGATTCTTCGGGGGCGCCCAGGGAGCCTCGGGAGGCGGGACCTTTCGAAGACTACAGACAGCGTGCCAGGCAGCACTCGGCATGTTTTCACGCGGGCTTTTTTTCGCAATGCCGCCACCCGGCTTGCCCGAGCGCACGTGCGGCCTGCCTCTGCCGCGCTGCGACGCACAAGTTTTCGCGCCTCAATGTGCCATGGGGCGCGGTGGCGGGCAAGGGCGAGGAGGACGCCCAGCACCCGGGGCGGGAGGCGCCGTGCCGGCTTCTCTGCTGGGGAGCTCCGTGTCGTTTGACCCTGGCGCGTGGACAAAAAAGAGACAATTGAGACACGGCTCCCGTGCGGCAGAAGGCCCGAATCAGCTTGGCACCCATACGATGGGGGCCACGATGAGGGATCACGATGGGGGGCACCATGGGGGGCCGCGATGGGGGCATCGGGATGGGGTCGGGGCAGGGATACAGGTCCTGGGGTATGGGGATAGGGAATGCGTTGGGGGGCAGGGATCGGGATGGGGATAGGGATCTCAGATAAGGATAGGGGATAAAGAGATAGCCATAGGGATAGAGGCAAAAGGATAGGGATTTAGGATAGGGTTAGGGATGGGGACAGGGATAGGGATAGGGATAAGGACGGCAATGCGAGGCCACCGGAGGCACCGGGAAGCCACGAACGGCAACGGGAGGCCTCGTCACTTCACCCATTCTGGATCTGACGGTCCACCTAACAGTTTCTCAGAAGAGATGTAGAGAAGCCTTACAGATGAGTTGTTCAGGGAATTGTTCCCCAAACGGTGCTTGCACTTTGGAGATTTTACTGCTCTCACAAAGACCTGGGCCTCTGCGCGGGTCTGACCAACTTGTGGCCGCCCGTCGCCGCCGTCCGTCGCGGCACCATGTTGTTCACGATGTTGCTAATGCGAGGCTTGCACTTTGCATTGCTTTGCATTGTTTTGCAGTGTTCTGCATTGCTTTACGCGTGTTTGCATTGCAGTGTTTTGCATTGTTTCGCAGTGTTTCGCATTACTTTGCACCACATCGACTGCGCCGCAAGAGTTCCACCACGTAGATTGATTGCACCACCTAAATTGCCTTGTATAGATAGCAAGGAATCACGGTGTGGGGCCCACGCTGGCTCATATGTATGGAGATCCGCACGGGTTGAGCGTAGCCGCTCCGATGGAGTCGAATTGTTCTTCTTGCATCGAGCTTGGATGATCATGATCTGGTGAAGACACACTGGGGGATAATCCTATTAGAGCATCACTGCAGGATCGTGTACCGAACGCTGACTGACGTGTCGTGTGTGTGCGTGTGTGCGTGTGTGTGTGTGCGTGTGTGTGCGTGTGTGTATTTGTGTGTCTGTGTGTGTGTGTTTGTTTGTGTGTGTGTGTGTTTGTGTGTGGTGTGTGTGTGTGTGATGTGTGTGTGTGGTGTGTGTGTGTGGTGCGGTGCGGTGCGGTGCGGTGCGGTGCGGTGCGGTGCGGTGCGGTGCGGTGCGGTGGTGTTTGTGTGGGTGTGTGCGTGGGTGCGTGGGTGCGTGGGCGTGTGTGTGTGGGTGCGTGGGTGCGTGGGTGCGTGGGTGCGTGGGTGCATGGGTGCGTGGGTGCGTGGGTGCGTGTGGTGTGTGTGTGTGGTGTGTGTGTGCGTGCGTGCGTGCGCGCATGCGCGCGTGCGCGCGTGCGCGCGTGTGCGCGCGTGTGCGCGCGTGTGCGTGCGTGTGCGTGCGTGTGCGTGCGTGTGCGTGCGTGCGCGTGCGTGCGCGTGCGTGCGTGCGTGCGCGCGCGCGCGCGCGCGCGGCGTGCGTGCGTGTGTGTGTGTGTGCGTGTGTGCGTGTGTGCGTGTGTGTGCGTGTGTCTGTCTGTGTGTGTGTCTGTGTGTGTAGGTGTGTGTAGGTGTGTGTAGGTGTGTGTGTGTGTGTGTGGGGGGGTGTGTGTGTGTGTGTGTGTTTGTGTTTGTGTTTGTGTTTGTGTTTGTGTGTGTGTGTGTGTTGTTTTGTGTGTGTGTGTGGGTATGTGGGTGTGTGGGTGTGTGGGTGTGTGGGTGTGTGGGTGTGTGGGTGTGTGGGTGTGTGGGTGTGTGGGTGTGTGGGTGTGGGTGTGGGTGGGGGGGGGCGTGTGTGCGTGCGTGCGTGCGTGCGTGCGTGCGTGCGTGCGTGGGTGGGTGGGTGGGTGGGTGTGTGTGTGTGCGTGTGAAAGTGTGAAAGTGTGCGTGTGTGTGTGTGTGGGTGTGTGCGCGTGTGAATGTGTGTTTGTGTGTGTGTGTGCGATCGGCACGCGCCGATGCCTTATACAACGACTCAGGCTGTCGTCCGAGACCCCCGACTGTGCCTCCCACCCTCCACTCCCAGCCGAATCCCCACCCTTTTCCCCCTCGCGATTCAGAGCTGATTTGAAAAACCAGCGCCCCTCGATTGGACCATGGAAATATTGAGTCGGGCCAGGTTTTCCGAATTCGCTCTGAACTCGGGGGCGCCCGAAGGGGGTAAGGACTAGGAGGTCTGGATATCATGGCGGGGGCCATGATATATCATGGCCCTCTCGTCGTCTTCATCTTAACATTCCTATGTTTAGCATTAGATTAATTTTTCGTTTTATTGTTCTTAGCCTTACTACTCATAATAGTAGCATGAGTGGTGTTAGTAGCATGTGTGGTAGTATGTTTGTTTTTGCTTATTCGTATTATTCGCAGTAGAATCACCTCAACACGTTACTTCTCCCCCTTCATCCGTGCACATGCCTCGGGCACATGCTTTGCGACACCCCCTCTTCCTGCTCCCCCCTCTCCAGCGCACCCGATGAGCGCCCTGAGGGCTTGAGAGGTCGAGAGGGCCGTGTCTCGATCGGCCACCCCAGGCGGAGGAGTTGTGGGCGGACGTGAGTTGAGTGTGATCACGAATGCTTTCAACAGTGCTTGGGTTCCTCGCGATTCTGCCACCACGGGATGTGGTCTCGGCTGCTTAGTGCCCTGAGCCCAAATGTCACCAAGTGTGCATATGACTACGTGTGCATACGAGAATTCGGTCGCCCAGGAATGCCAATACTAGCTAAGCCATCAGCTACCCCTGCCTACCCCCCAAGAGGAGGACCAGTGGGCGGACGTGAGCGAGGTCATGCTCTTCGAGATGTTCCCGGACGACGCCGACGCGGTCGAGGACGCACTCCGCCGTTTCGCGGGCCTCTCGCACCAGGCCGCGCGCGCCCTGGAAGCCCTCCTCGCCAGGCCCTCGGCCAAGGGCAAGACCGTGCTAGACGCCGAGGACGACCTGGACTACGATTGCGCGCCAGCGGACGGGAGCGGCGCGGAGGACGCTTCCACCGAAGAAAAAGCACCTGAGTAAGCACGAACGTTCGGAGCTCCGCGCGGATATCTTGGATCTGCACTGGACCCCTCTGTCGCCGCCCCTGGCGCGCGGAGCGCGCCAGGGAGGGGAGCCCAGCGCCGCCCGAAAACATTCGCCCAGAGCTCCGAATGGTTACTCCCAGTCTTCCTGCTTTGGGTGCTCGCTTTGACTAGAGCACTGCGGTCGCGTCTCCTTCCTTCCCCTCTCCCTCCGCCTCTCCTCTCCTCGCCTCCCTTCTGCTGTCTCCTCCCCTGGCCCACTCACTTCCTGCCTGCCTCCATTCAGGCTAGCCCTCGCCATCCCTGCGGGGCTGCGCAGGGCTTAGGCCCACCCCATGCCTTAGAACTCTCGGAGTAGTAGCCCGACCAGCCCGCGCGGCTGTGGGCGCGTTCTGAGAGCCACTCTTGTTACCCACACCATCCTTCCCACCCGCCCGCGGCCATTATTGCCAAGCGGCGACCCTATCCCAAGACGAGCGAGGGGGCGATGTGGAACGCGCCACCAGGGCTGGATGGTAGGAGAGGGGGGGGGGATTGGGAGTTGGGCGCGGGGGCGGTGCAAACATCATCCTTCAACTATCGGTTGATATATCCGAGTGGCGTTCGGGGTTTTCTATCGCGCGGAAGGGGGCGGGTGATATAGACGAGGGCGTGGGGGGAGGTGGGAGGGGGGCTGTTGCGCGGGTGGCCCAGGAAGTTTACGCCGCGGTCTTCGGGCCACGCGATGACAAAACCAACGCCCCAAACAAGCCCCGAGAGGTCACGCTGAGGAGCTACAAAATGCCGTCGCACCCCCTTAGCGGACCCCAACACAGACCAACAACGACGTCGCAACATGGCCGGGTGGACGCACATGTGACCCGACGTACCCAAGACACCCAACGCATCGTCGTTGTTGTCGGTAGCGGAATCAAGTTTTTTTTCATGGGGGTCACCGGCGCACCAACACCCGCAAACAATCCCGACACAGCGGTGTTCTGGCCGGCGGTGGTTCGCGAAGCGTCATGAATCGCCACGCTTTCTGAGGGCACGGAAGCACTTGACCTTGACGCTCGCGGAGATTATGCCTTGCTTGTAGACCAGTGGCGGGGGATTCGAACCATCCTGTGGCAACGACGGCATTGCATTCATTATCTTAGACTTCGGAATCGGCGTCAAGTCGGCATCCTTGGGCTTACCCCCGCCGTTTGCAGCCTCGGCAGGCTCGACCTTCGCAGCCTTGTCAGGCTTGGCGGAAGCAGCGGCTGCTGCTGGGCGTTTCCGTGGTGGCCCCTCGACCTTGACCGCAGGTGCCGTGTCTTTCTCTCCTTTAGCAGTCTCCTTCTTAGCTAAGGCTTTCGCCTTCGCTTCCTCCTTCTGCTTAGCCTTGCGCTTCTTGAGGGAACTGATCGCAGCAAGGGCGCACGGGCCCAGGTCCTCTTCACGCGGTCCATCGTCAATTTCGGCGGGGCCGCGCTCAGCACCAGCGTCGGAGGTGTGCTCAGCCTTAATAGCGTCTTGCTCCTCATGTTTAGGTTCTGGTTCATGCTTGACAGGTGGCTCAGGTTTGCTGTCTGCGAATACCCTCAGTGCCCCATCAGCAGCGCGGTGGGTAGCCAAGCTGCTTCGCGGTTCGGCTGTGACGTGAGGCGCAGCAGGACCCTGCACAGCCGATGGGCTTTTCCCTTTGCGGTACTCGAGCAGTTTCTGCTGGTACTCGTAAAACAATCCCATCTCGAACGGGCCGGTCGGTGATGCAACGAGCGCCCCTGCCGGTGATGTGTCGCGCGCATCGGCTGCGGGCGTTACGACGTCACGGCTGTGAGCGCAGCCAAGCTCTTCCTTCGCTTCTTGAAACTTTAGTTTAGCATCTGAGTCAAGAGATGTTTTCAACAGGCCCCTGTTGGAGCGTAGCGAGATCTTGTCCGCGATTGCGTTTATGTCCTTGAGCTCAATCCTGGCCGGCTGGTCATCGCAAGGGTGGGCGGCCTGGAAGATGTCGTGCGAAAGCTCGGATGGCGAAGCTGGGTATTCCATGACGCGAGCAAAGCTGAAATAGTTTCTCTGTTTTGAACGACAACTTCAAGTCCCCCAACATGCTGTGCACCTTCTCCTGCTCGGGTGGGGCGTCGTAATGCGTGACAAGCAACGCTGCTAAGGCCCACTTGTACGTCTGCTCGCTAGGCTCGATGCAGCCAACGGCCATGCCGTTTTCGACCAATGTCGTCATCTTGCGGTTCAGCGAAACCTTGGGGCCATTGATCACCCCCCAGTCCGACGAAGTTAAGCACGACCACCATAAGCACGACCACCATTCCTGAAGCAATTGCTCGTTCGCGGAGCCTTCGGGCTTGACGGGGCCGCAGCCCTCAGCGACCTTGCTGTCGACGGTAGACATGATCCGCTCGGTCTGCTCTTCGCCGCACGGCTCACCCCTCAATGCCTCGACGATCTGGGTTGCATCGGCTGGCCCAACCCATTTAATGCTGTTCAGCATGCTGACCAGAGTGTCGGCGAAGCTCTCCTGGGGCGCGGGGTCGGCGCGGCTGTTGACATCGCTGCGAGCCCTGGACCAAAAAAAAAAACAAAAAAAAAAAAAAAAAAAAAAAAAAAAAAAAAAAAAAAAAAAAAAAAAAAAAAAAAAAAAAAAAAAAAAAAAAAAAAAAAAAAAGCTTTCACGCTAGTTATCTCCTTCACGAGCGAGCTGCAGCTGCAGCATGTCATCTGACTGGTGCACGCAAGCCAACAAGCTGCGAGGAGGGTCAGCCCTCAGGCTCGCGAGGCGGCCAGCCTTCAAGGTCGTGAGCCAAACGGCTATGGCTGAGACGGTAGGCTGGAGTTCGCCATGTGCAGTCGTGGAATCACGCGATGCTCGAATTATGTTGTGGCTTGCTTTGATGCGTGCGGCATGCAGTATAGACGGCGCGGCATGGAGGGGGGGGGGGGGGGGGGGGGGGGCGAGGCGGGGGGGCACCCCGTGAGATGAGCGAGAGAGGCCACGGAGCCAGGAGAAGGAGGAGGGATGGAGGCGAGGAGAACGACGAGATACACGAAATGAGACGGCACCGCACAGAACACCATCGGCGTACCATCTGGCGTCGGGGTATACCCATATTCACGGCCTGCGGCATGCCATCATGCTTGACAGGTTTGCGTTGTGCTGGTTTGATTCATGGTGCGATCTGCTTTGCTCTATTCTCTGAATCGCGACGTAGACGGCGCCATATGGGGGGGGCGGCGAGGCGGGGGGGGCACCCCATGAGATGAGCGAAAGAGGCCGCGGAGCCAGGAGATGGAGAAGGGTGGGGGCGAGGAAATCGACGACATCGACGAAGTGAAACTGTTTGGCGGTTGAGGACATTCTGAGATTGAGGGGCGGCGGGGGCGGGGGCGGCGGCGCGCGCGCGCGGGCGCGGGGGGGGGGGTCTGGGCCTACTCTATCAGTTTAGAGTAGGCCAGCACAACGCATGACGTAGCATTGCATCGGGCCACGCGCATAGCATAGCTGTCTGAGTCAAAGGTTTGGGCCGTGCGCATGGCATTGCATAGAACAACGTCGGGGGCATCTCAAACCTCATCCTCATCCCGATCCGCGGCTTAGATGCGCAGCCGAGGCCATTGCCCCCCCCCCCCCCCCCCCCCATCCTCCGCAACTGGATCAAGATCGCAGCGCGGTACAACAACGGAACGCAGCACAGAGCGACGAGGGGCAAGCGAGAGGAGAACGAGGAGGATGGGGGGGCAAGACATCGGGGGGGCGGGGGAGGGAGGAGGGGAGGGGGCGCCAACACCACCTAATTCACCAGCAACGGGGAGGGGCGCGCAGACATGGATGGCCTCGTCTGCTCATCCCACCCCTCGCGCCGAATGAGGCGTTCGGCCATCGCCCCCCCCCCCCCCCCCCACCCACCCACCCACCCCCACCACCACCACCACCACCACCGCCACCACGCCTCCTCGCCGGGCAAGCTGGGCCACCCCAGGGCCCGACATCGACCAAGACCGAGGCGCGGGGGGGGGGGGGGGGGCGAACGATTCACTTGGCAACGGCATTCAGGCGGCGGAGGTGAAGTAAGCAGGCGGTGGACGGAGGAGGAGGTCAGTTTGCCTGGCGGCGCGGCCAGCGCAATGCACGCCGTCGCCGCGCGCCCATGACCGCGGTCGGCGGCGCCTGACTGCGCCGCCGCCTCCAGACCGCGGTCGGCGGCGCCTGACTGCGCCGCCGCCTGCAGACGCCAGACAGCGGTCGACGGCGCCTCGCGCCTGAGACGGCGCCAGGCGCCTCGCGACGGGCCCTCGCGCCTCGCGACGGGCACTCGCGCCTGAGACGGGCGCCCGCAGGCGCCGGAAGACGGGCCCTCGCGCCCGAGACGGCGCCGGGCGCTTCAAGACAGCGCCTCGGGCATTGAGAGACGGCGCGTTCGCCTGAGAATGCGCCGGGCGGCCCTGCGCGCGAGAGCGCCTCGAGACGGCGCCAGCGTGCAGGGCAAGATGCTCTCTAAAAAATGCCACACCGAGCCGCAGCAACAATCTGAATCGGACCGATTTGTCTGTTGCATTCCAACCACATTTTCACGTTGAGTCGCCCCGGGACGGGATTCACCAACCCGCGCAACACCCTGTGGCTCGGCGCTTAAAGGCAGTGCGCGGAACACCGCGAATCACACCTGCCCTAAGGGGGGTGCCTCCAGGGGCCGTCTGACGGCGGGGAGGCCCGATTGGGGGGAGGCCCGATTGGGCCGACAGAAGGGCATATTAGTCCTCATGAGCACCCCCCTCCACCTCATTCGCATCCTCCCCCTCTTCATCATCCCCCCCCCCCCCCCCTCGCCCCCCCCCCCCTCGGCTCGGGCGGAGCCCTCCCAGGAGGCCGATGGGCGCGCGGAAGTTGGACCAGGTCTCGAACGCCACCCCAATCGGACGAACATCGATTGCTACATGATCGGCCCCTGAGGGCACGCCAGATAACCCGACGGGCTCCCGCGA